ATGGTGTGCAAATACCCTGTTCGCTCAGGCGGGCCCCCCCTGGAGGGGTGGGAGGGGCACGAAACATGATAAATAACATGGTGTGCGAATACCCTGCCCGCTCAGGCGGGGCCTCCCTGGAGGGGTGGGAGGGGCACGAAACCTGATAAATAACATGGTGTGCGAATACCCTGCTCGCTCAGGCGGGGCCTCCCTGGAGGGGTGGGAGGGGCACGAAACCTGATAATAACATGGTGTGCGAATACCCTCGCTCAAGGGGTGCACGGGTGTGCGAATACCCTGCTCGCTCAGGCGGGGCCTCCCTGGAGGGGTGGGAGGGGCACGAAACCTGATAAATATTATGGTGTGCGAATACCCTGCCCGCTCAGGCGGGGCCTCCCTGGAGAGGTGGGAGGGGCACGAAACGTGATAAATAACATGGTGTGCGAATGCCCTGCTCGCTCAGGCGGGGCCTCCCTGGAGGGGTGGGAGGGGCGCGAAACCTGGTAAATAACATGGTGTGCGGATACCCTGCTCGCTCAGGCGGGGCCTCCCTGGAGGGGTGGGAGGGGCACGAAACCTGATAAATAACATGGTGTGAGGAAAGGCATGGTGTGGTATGGGATGGTGGATGCATGGTATGGTATGGTATGGTATGGTATGGAGTGGCATGGTATTGGTATGGTATGATACAGTATGGGATGGTGGAGGAAACGGGAGGAGGAGGAGGAGGAGAGGATGTTCTGGGAAAACAAGAACCCCACTCAGGATGTGGGGAAAAACAAGCAAACGAACCGCGACATGCCGAACAAGCCGCGCAACGACTGGAAGCAACAGTTTCCCTGGCAGAAGCTCAGTTACCGACCGCCGACCTTGCGAATCTTGCCAACAATGACAGAGGTCCGAACCCCGCTCTCTTCTGCACTGGCGCACCCAGCAATATTCAGCCCGTCGGGTCTCGACGAGCCACAGCTCCATGGATTTAATGCAGTCAAGTTCAACCCGGACATGTCAAATTCCACCCACATGTACAAGGAGGAAATGAAGTCGCCCCCCCAAGAGTTTTCGATGTTGTTAGAGGCCAATGGATGAGATTCAACGACCCGATCACCCACGATGCCGAGACCCGCTTTTCGTCTCAGCGGACGAGTCGCCACAGCAGATCAGGAGAAAACTCTAGACCAAGCGCCTGGCCTCCGTCCTCGCAGAGATCTTCCCCGCCACCGACATTGAGGGTGCAGCGACACGGCGTCGATCGCGGAAATCCAACCGCGGGCCCCCCGCGCGCAATGCTCGAAGCTCCACTGGAACCCCGCCGATGTCAGCGCCACGGGGATCAACGAAGGATTGGCCAAGCCGAAATTCGAGTCCGTGTCTGTCTCCATCGACGCACCCACGCGGTCCAATGAACAGGAACGGGGCACCGCGGGAGGCCGCCAAGAAGGAGGTGCCGCCGCAAGTGGCCTTATGGAGCGCCCGCGGCCTATCACGTTATAGCGCCCGACGGCGTCGCCTTAAGCTCCGCCGCTTGGAGAGCGCGGTCACCTCGAGGGACATCGCGCCCATTCCAGAACGGAAGGGCCGCATATAGAGCGGAGACCATCTTCGCCAGATTTCCGATTTCAGCATCCTGTGCCGAGCAGTTCTTCGGTCGGGCAATCCGTGGAGCTGCAGGCGGCGGTGTTCTTGTGCCTGTTTCCGAGCGTGGATTACTTCCACGAGGTTTGGGCGGGGGGGGGGGGGGGGCGCGGGCGTGCCTCTTTCGTTCGTGATGGCTGACATAAAACCCACCGTTTTGGTTGATGACAGTATCCCTGCGAATAATCGCCAACCCCGGCGCTGACATGGAACCGCGCGTTCTCAACGTTCACAGCTACGAACTACGCGACGAGCAGCGGCCGGCGGCCCGACTTCGCGATGGGCCTCGGCGAATCAGTTGACGAGAATCTTCTTCGCCGTGGATAACCTCTCCGGCAAAGCGTCGCAGTCTCACGCGACGCCGTTGGCCGGGCAGCCCCGCGAGACTCGCGGGGGCCGCCCCCGGCCGAGTCAGGACTTCTCGGTGCAGCGCGCCCGCGCGGGCGCCATCAAGATCGCCGCAGGCATGCCGACCCGCTCTTCGAAGAGCCACCAGACGGGCACCTCCGCTGACCGGGTCTACATCCCAAACCCGCCAGCCTCCTTGCCGCACTCCAATTGCCAGCTGAACGCGGCGCGCGGCGCCGCTGCCCTCTCGGACATAAGGCCCGCGCTGTCACCAAGCTCGCCATCGACGCCGAGAAAGCACCTGAGACGGACCAAGGGCCCGCCATTAACTTCGTGCGCCGCTTGAAGCAGCGCGATGCGCCGCTTGCAGGGGCTCCGAAGCGAGCCGAGCTCGGCGCGATGACCGAGCTCCGCCGCATCGACAACGCCGAGGAGATCGCGAGAACGGCTGCAATTTCAAGCGCGGAGGGCTCCAGCAGCTGCCGCTCGGGGCGGGCGCCGACAACCTGCGGGGGGGCGGGCGCCTCGCGCTCCGCGCCGTTGCCCGCGCCGTCTGGCGCTTCGATCTTGCCGCCGCCCGCCCGCTCGCCGTCGCCTCAGAGCTCGGGCGTCAGCTCCCGGGCGCATCGGGCCCGCCCCCGCTTCTGTCTGCCGCGACATTATGTCAGCGTGGATAGAGCGCCCGCGACAGCTCGCGGCCTCTCGCGCTGCCCGCGCCCGGGGGCAGCCCGCGGTTAGAGCGCCGCTGCGTCCAGCGCGCCGTGGAGCTGTGGCGCCATTTCCCAAGCGCCTGCATTCGCGCGGCATCGGCGACTCTCACGTTGCCCATGATCCCTTCTACCCGGCGGGGGCGCGCCGCCCCCGCCAGCGGCGAGGGCTCCGCAGGGCGCCCATCGCCCAGGCCCTCAGGCAGCGCCGGGCCCTAATCCGCTCAGCCACGGCAGTTCCCCGCCAGCTGATGGATCGCCGTCTCGATTATGTCGCGCCGCGCTTTCCCGCGGCAGATTTGCCGACCCCCTTGGAGAATGCGCCGCTCGAGGCCCTGGAACGCGGTTGAACTTGCGCCCCTGGCCCCGATCGCCACGCGCGCGAAAAGCGCGGCTAGCGGCCCCCGCCGCCGCGGACAGTCGCTACCCCGCCCTTCGTCTGTGCAGCGGCCACCCCGCCCGCGTCGCTCAGCCGCCCTATTTGCTGCTCCGCCACCGAAGGGCGACAGAGCCCGCGAGGCATCAGAAGTGCGCCAGTTGCCTCTGCAAAGCTGCGATGCCGAAGCGCTCGCGTCGGCCATTCGCAATCCGCCGACAACGCAGGCGCAGTTTTCAGGCGCGCGAGACCCAGCGAGGTTTCATCAGACGCGGAAGCTCGCGCCAGACTATCGCCAGGCTGGACGCGCGCGCCCGCGCCACTGACGCGGCAGAAGATGCCCCGTGCCGACTGCCATTCTGCGTCGGTTTCGGTGCAAAGGCCGCTTGCCCAAGCATGAGGCGAACGTGGCTTTTCGATGTTCGAGCGCATTGGCCCCCTCCCTGCGTGGATGCCCAGCGGCGACCAATGGCCTTTGCTCTCTCCCGGTCGTCTCGATCAGAATTCATGCTCAGATGGCGCCGCTGTTGCTGATCAGTGCGGGGGCGATGCAAGGACCCCCCATCGGCGGCATCCTTTGGGTGATCGGAGTGGGCCCCGATGGCCGAGCTCTGGGGCTGGCGCCCGCGCCTGGCTCCAAGCTTGCTGCCCTCGGGGAGTGCGCGGACGCTAGCTCGATGCTCGGCAAGTTGGCAGGCCTCGCTCGCCTCGCCCCTCCCCCCTTCGCTGCCTCGAGCCTCGCCTCGCTTCGTCCCCGCCCCTTCGCGTGCGCGGGCGCTTCAGCCCATCCCGCCCGCGCGGCAAAAATCTTCGCTGTCGCTCGGCAGGCGAGACGCCTCGGAGTGTGCATCGGGCCCGAGCCTCCGAACGACATGCGAGGCTTCGCTCCCGCGCAGGAGTGGCGGGAGAGAATGATCGAGCGTTCGCCTTTCGACGCTTCTTCCGACCCCCCCCCCCTCCGTCTGGGCGGATGCGCGATTCGCCCGGCTTGGGTTGCGTGGCCCAAGTATTTCAAACCCCGAAGCTGCCCCTCACGAGTGAGCTGCGATGCTTTCGCAACGTTCGAAACCTCCGCCCAGCTCGCTCTCTGGCCCCGACCTCAGGTTTCTGTGAGCCTGGGCGCTTGGGCCCATGCCCTCGGCATGCGCTGCTGCGACAAGTTGGCGCGCGGCGAGGTCGGCCATGGCACGGCAGCCCGAGTGGCGCGCGGAACTCGCGAAAGCTTCGCGGGGCCACACTGCGCCAGCGCGCCATGCGCATTAGCTCTGTTCCCCGCCGTTTTGCTCCGACCCGCCTGCCGCTCCATCGCGCTCTCGAAGTTCCCGCCGGGGCCCCCCAGCGCATCGCTGCCGCCGGGGCCTCTTCAAGCTGCCGCCCTCGCCGAGGACCTGTTCCTGGAAGTCGGCGGCGAGCGAGGGGGGAAGTGAGGAGGAGCCTTCTCAGAAGGTTCGGAAGCCCCCCGGCCATCTCAGAAGCGTTCTAATCCTTCCCCGAAGACCAACGCAATCTTCTCGGGGGGCGCGAGGGCGCCTGAGCGGGCGTCGCGCGAACAACTCGGGAGTTTTTTTTTGTTGTGTGTGTGTTTTTGTTGATCACGCGGCCCTTCAACAACGCCCCAAGCCTCGGAACCGCCGCGCGGCGCGGCGTGCTGGTTATCCGCTCGCGCGGCGTAGATTGCGCGCCGCTGGGGCTGCCGCATCGCGATGCGATATATGCAAAAGGTTTCTGACCGCAGCATTGAGTCTTGCGTGTCCATCTACAGGAGGGATAGTCAAAACTATGTTATGAATTGTCCGGGGACGTTTTGTTCTACAATTTTTTGTTGGGGGCATGTTCGGACCGTTTTTGATGTTTCATCCAAGATCCTCCCGTAGAAGACGTGCCCGACCTAACCGTAGCAGCTCGGAAAACCTCTTTTTGCCCCCCCCCCCCCCCCCCCCCCCTTTTGGGAGGCACTACAGCGTGTGGCAGCGCCGCCGCGCCACCTTCGTGCTGTGCACCGACGGTGCCTCAGCCGACTCCGGGGGCAGCTCGCGCACCGCGGTCGCCGGGGCAACGCAAGGGGGGGTAGGTTTGGGTCGAGTAGACGCAATGATGACCTTTCGCTGGGGTGACCTTTTGGCACAGATGTGTCCCCAGATGGCCAGATGCGAAGCGGCAGCAGCGGCTTGCGCGCTTAGGTTTGGCCGTTCCGCGCCCCCGATGAAGCCGCGCACCAAAGGCCATTCTGGCCCAGGGTCATTCTTGCGTGTAGCGGCCATGGTGGGCGCATCGACCCCCAATCGCCCGTGGATCGCCGATAGGGGCCCTTCGGATGCAATTCTTGGGATGTCAAATTTTGACTCCGCCTTGGTCTGACATGTGGCGTACTCCGGCTTGATCCCGCTTAATCCAGTTTCATACCGCTGAATCCTGGTCAGTGCTGCTTAATCCCGCTCGATCCGCGGCCGAATCCAACGCAACAGCCCCCCAATGGGGCTTAATCCTCCGTTGTCTTTTTGATGAAAATCTTTCAGTACAGTGGAGGCCCATGCCAAGAAGCATTTTCCTTGCCTCCAGGAAGCGATGGGTTTCTTGGGTTTCGCACGTGTTGTTATTGAAAGCGTGACGTTCCCAGACCAACAATCAATGGATGTCATGGTGTCTCAGGGTTGGGTTCCTTGTGGAAGGATTCTTGTGGACTGGCTTCCACTGTCATCCTCCCTTGTCGTTCCGACCAAAACCTCCAAACTGTTGCCTCTCAAGGGCCCGACATGCCATCCCACTCTGCAGATACGTCCGGATGTGCTATCGGTGGCTTGCCGCCGATCGATCGGCTTCGCATCGCCAATCTCAGGTCCTCGCTTCCCCCTCTGGACCGGTGCCCCCATACAGTTGGGACCCATGCCGAGGAGGAGGAGGAGAAGGAGGAGGAGGAGGAGGAGGAAGGCCATCAGGCTGGAGATGTCTTGGTCGGCGTTCTGGGTCGGCCAGATCCAGAGCCCTGGATGGGGCCGTCGGAGAGGCGCCCGCGCGCACCTGAAGCCACCGTGTTCCTCTCCCCCCCCCCCTTCCCCGGGGGGGGGCGGAGGGTTGCGAACTCGGGACGGGGTCGGAGGGGGCTACAGTGGAGGCCCATGCAAAGAAGCACCTTGCTTGTCTCCAGGGTGCCCTGGGTTTCTTGGGTTTCGATGTTCTTGCCATGGAAGGCGTGACGCTCCCACACCAGAAATCCACGGACGTCCTGGGGTTTCAGGGTTGGGTTTCTTGTGCGGAGGATTTCTCTTGGTCGGGCCCCTGCTGTATCGTTCCCACGCAGGTCGGCAGGGGCGACGCCGATGACCTCGACGACCTCGACAACGTCGCCTGAGTTGAGCCCGAAACCCACGCGCGTGCGCCGGAGGCGCGTTCGAGGGGGACGACCCCCGGCGGGCGTTCGGAGGGAGAGGGAATAGGAGGAGGAGGGGGAGGAGTCGGAGGAGCAAAGGCAAGGGAAACATAAACTTAAGTCGGACACGTCCCTCTACAAGAGGAATGTTCAAAAATAGTCATACATAGTCATGGGACGATTTCTAGACTACTTTTGAATAATTTGGGGCTACTTCTAATTCTTCGTCCAAAATCGGCCTGTAGGGAGACAGGCCCGACTCAAACATAAATTGTCGGAGTTCCGCGTGGATTCCTTGGATCTGCGCTGCGCCCCACTGTCGGCGCCTCTGGCGCCTCCCTCGCGCGCTCCGCGAGCCAGGGAGGAAAGTCCAGCGCCGATCCAAGAGGTACGCGAGGGCCTCCGAAAGCTCACGCTCATGCAGTTCTAGCGGGGCGAGGAGGAGGAGGACGCCACGCCCGAAATGGGCACATAACAAATGGCACGATGCCCGACAACACATGAGTCACATGAGCGACGTTAGAAAACGGGCTCGTCGTCAACGAAATTGGCGCGTAAGTTGCCCGCGTAAGGTCGCGCGTAAGTGCCCCTCTTCCAGTGTGGCGTGCCACGCTGCCGGCCCGCGAAAGCCACCCGCGTAAGATCGCCATGCCATCTCGCGTAATATCCGTTTTGGTTTGGCCGTTCACATGTTGCTCAAATCGGCAGCGGCCGCTGTTCGGCATGTGAGCGTGCATCTCAAATTGATAGCAACTGCGGCGACGACGACAGCGAATCCTGTTCACTATGGATCGAAGCTGCTGTTCGACTGTGTTGTGCCCATTGTGTCCGTACCAACGTCGGTCCCCTTCAGAGGAGGGGGATAAAGGATGCGAGGAGGTACGAGAAAGGTTCTCGTGCCCTTCTCGGCAGGCCCCCTCCCGATCATCAGGCCCTTCTGGATGCGAGAGGGGTGCTCGTGCCCTGCCTTACTGGGAGAGCGTTCGCATCGCACTCTGCGACTCCGTGTCGGGGGTCCTCTGTCGTTGCTCGGCCACGCCCTGCGCAGACGTGCAGCGAGGACTTCGGCCGGAAGTGCCCCAACGCGTGACGGGTGCAGCACCTTCTCCCCCTCCACCCGCAGCGACCCATTGGCCCGCTCGATCGCCTCGGCGCCGGCCGACCGACAACGCCATGCTCGCAAGGGGGCCTCCCCGCGCAGGGGTCGAAAACGAAAGCGGCCCCGCAGGGGTCGAAAACGAAGGGGGACACGTCCGACTTAAACATAAGCTCTTCGCGCTCCGCATGGATTTCTTGGGTCCGCGCTGGGCCCCGCCCGGCGGCGCCTCCTTCGCCGCCCGTGGCGCGCTCCGCGCGCCAGGGTGGGGGGTCCAGCGCAGATCCAAGAGATCCGCGCGGAGCGCCAAAACTTTCTGTTCATACCGTTCTTTCTTCCTTTGGAGAAGCCGTCTGAGTCATCTCCGAAGAGAGAGACACGGCTTCCCAGAAGGTTCTGGGCCTCCCAAATGGGGTCCGAGTAGGTAGTTATTTTTTCTCCTAAGCGGCGCAGTTCAGCAAGGCGGTCACTCGTGATGCATCTTCGACCACCGGCCGAGAGCAGTTCATGCCTCGCCTCGCCGCGCGGCGGCCGATTGCTAGTGTTAAGTCGGGCGTGTCCCTCTACAGCAGGAATATCCAAGAATAGCCAAACCATATCATGGGGACGCTTTTTCTATCATTGTGGATCCTCTTTGAATGTTTTTCCCAACCATCCTGTGGTGTTGGGTCCTCGTTTTGAAGAGACGGTGCCCCGCGTTCCTCTCCTCCTCTCCTCCTCCTCCTCCTCCTCGCCCTCCTCCCTCCAGGGTTCGCATGCCTCCCCACCACCCATTTCGGCACACCCCTCACACGCTTCGTGGCCCCATAGGGAGCTCCACCGAAGGCCCCAGTGGCAGGGTTCGCATGCCTCCCCACCACCCATCTCGGCACACCCCTCACACGTTTCGTGGCCCCATAGGGAGCTCCACCGAAGGCCCCAGTGGCAGGGTTCGCATGCCTCCCCACCACCCATTTCGGCACACCCCTCACACGTTTCGTGGCCCCATAGGGAGCTCCACCGAAGGCCCCAGTGGCAGGTTTCGCATGCCTCCCCACCACCCATTCGGCACACCCCTCACACGTTTCGTGGCCCCATAGGGAGCTCCACCGAAGGCCCCAGTGGCAGGGTTCGCATGCCTCCCCACCACCCATCTCGGCACACCCCTCACACGTTTCGTGGCCCCATAGGGAGCTCCACCGAAGGCCCCAGTGGCAGGGTTCGCATGCCTCCCCACCACCCATTTCGGCACACCCCTCACACGTTTCGTGGCCCCATAGGGAGCTCCACCGAAGGCCCCAGTGGCAGGGTTCGCATGCCTCCCCACCACCCATTTCGGCACACCCCTCACACGTTTCGTGGCCCCATAGGGAGCTCCACCGAAGGCCCCAGTGGCAGGGTTCGCATGCCTCCCCACAACCCATCTCGGCACACCCCTCACACGTTTCGTGGCCCCATAGGGAGCTCCACCGAAGGCCCCAGTGGCAGGGTTCGCATGCCTCCCCACCACCCATTTCGGCACACCCCTCACACGTTTCGTGGCCCCATAGGGAGCTCCACCGAAGGCCCCAGTGGCAGGGTTCGCATGCCTCCCCACCACCCATTTCGGCACACCCCTCACACGTTTCGTGGCCCCATAGGGAGCTCCACCGAAGGCCCCAGTGGCTGCGTTCGCATGCCTCCCCACCACCCATTTCGGCACACCCCTCACACGTTTCGTGGCCCCATAGGGAGCTCCACCGAAGGCCCCAGTGGCAGGGTTCGCATGCCTCCCCACCACCCATTTCGGCACACCCCTCACACGTTTCGTGGCCCCATAGGGAGCTCCACCGAAGGCCCCCATGCCATAGGGAGCTCCACCGAAGGCCCCAGTGGCAGGGTTCGCATGCCTCCCCACCACCCATTTCGGCACACCCCTCACACGTTTCGTGGCCCCATAGGGAGCTCCACCGAAGGCCCCAGTGGCAGGGTTCGCATGCCTCCCCACCACCCATTTCGGCACACCCCTCACACGTTTCGTGGCCCCATAGGGAGCTCCACCGAAGGCCCCAGTGGCAGGTTCGCATGCCTCCCCACCACCCATTCGGCACACCCCTCACACGTTTCGTGGCCCCATAGGGAGCTCCACCGAAGGCCCCAGTGGCAGGGTTCGCATGCCTCCCCACCACCCATTTCGGCACACCCCTCACACGTTTCGTGGCCCCATAGTTGGCAGGGTTCGCATGCTTCCCCACCACCCATTTCGGCACACCCCTCACACGCTTCGTGGCCCCATAGGGAGCTCCACCGAAGGCCCCAGTGGCAGGGTCGCATGCCTCCCCACCACCCATTTCGGCACACCCCTCACACGTTTCGTGGCCCCATAGGGAGCTCCACCGAAGGCCCCAGTGGCGCGGTGCCTATGAGAAGAGGGGCCTAGTTTGCGTGCCCCCTCCTTCGTCTCATATCCGTGCGGTACTCGCAGCTGCATATGGTTGGGTCCTTCGCCAGGCTAATTCTGACTATGTTTTAATGCTCCTCCTGAATCCGCCTGTAGGTGGACGTGCTCGACCGAAGGCCAGTGCGCCGTGGGGGGGTGGGGTTTCGAGCGCCGGCAGAGGAACGGCGAGCGAGCACCGGGCAGGGCGGGTGCCTCTCTCCGTCGGGTGTCCAGCGTGGCGTGCCCTGCGACGGGCACCTGCCGTAGTGGCGCGCGTGCGAGGGGCAGATGCAGAGGAGACCCATGCCAAGAACTAGCCTGCTCGCCTCCAGGGTGCCTCGAGTTTCTTGGCTGTCGATGGTTTCTGCGATGAGAGGCGTGGCGTGCCCGCCAAAAATCAATGGACGTCCTGGGGTCTCAGGGTTATGTTTCTTGTGGGAGGTTTCTTGTGGACTGGCCTCCACTGTAGAGCACTGACGATACCTTCGTTGGCGGCATGTGGAGGAGCGGCTAGCAGCGGCTGGTGTAGGGAGTCCGCGCTGGCAGCAGTCAAGGGTGTCCTTCGCTTGTTGACGAGGGTCAGCCTTTGGGGGGGTCAGGAGAGGGTACGTTCCATTCCTTCAACTGTCCTCTTGCTCGGGGCTGCATATGTTACAACACACACGTGTTGAGTGGCGTTTCCCTGGCCGTTCTCCTTTGGAAACTCGTGGCCTGGGCCCGCACTTGTGCCAGGAAAGATGTGTTCCTTGGCTTGCCCCTTGCCGACTCTGATCCCCAGAAGTCTGACCCCAACTGGCAGGCGAATGTAGGGTAGTTGGCCGGGTGGGGGCCAGAAGGGGGGCAGCGCCGGGAGCCAGCGTGCGGATCATGCAGTACAATGTGCGGCCTCCTTCGGCTCGGGAGGGCGAGGAGGGGGAGGAGGAGAGGTGGAGCGGGAGGGGGGGGGGATACGCATGAGGAGGAGGAGGAGGAGGAGGAGGAGGAGGCGGAGTAAGGAGAGAGAGAGAGAGAGAGAGAGCGAGGGGAGCTGAGGAAGATGCACCAGGGGGTTAGGTCGAGATGAGGAGGAGTAGGGAGGCGGGGTGGGAGGTTGGTGGGGGGCGGGGGGTGGGAGGAAGAAGAACGGTTGCAGTAGGGGAGGAGTAGTAGGAGAAAGGGAAGGAGAAGGAGGAGGGTGCCAGCGGTGGCTGCGAAGTGTTTGGGCGGTCGCAAGGGGTGTGGCGGGCGCGGGGGTGGGGGGGGGACGGCATGGGTGCGACCACCACGGGGGCGTCATTCCCGCTTTGCGAGGGGTCGAGCGTCGAAGAAACAGATCCCGAAGGGGCAAAGTTGTGCTCAAGCGTGGCAGATGCTAGAACGGGGGCGCCACTGTTGCTGATGCAGTGCGTAGCACGGCCAGCGCGATGGCGACGGCGCCGTTCCGCTGGACGGAGGCCGGGCGGAAGTGCTTACATGTGGCACGCGTTGTAACGGGAGCTACGTGCGTTGTTGACGCCAGAGAGGGAGCTTCGCCCCATTCGA